GCCGGACATGTCAACACCCGGCAGATACTCTCGCTGGAGAAGCCTGGCTGGATCAATTAATCCGAGTGAACAATATTAACAAGAGAGAATTACTGGTATCGCTAACCTCTATTATGAACAAGCTGTTAACCCGGAAAAATGCCTTCGTCATTGAAGGTCCCACAACAACTGGGAAGACGCTATTCGTGAAACTTGTGGCGGAAAATTATGTATACGGGACAGTACAACGATCAGGAGATCATAGCCAATTCTTCCTAATGAATTTGCTCAACAAGACACTGGCACTCATGGAAGAACCAAGAATTACACAACTAACAGTGAACGACTTTAAAGAACTCTTGGGTGGTAACCCTTTTGACATCCATGTGAAGCAACAGAAAGATGAACGCTTAGATAGACTACCTGTCCTTATAACAACCAACAACCCCTTGACATATTATGTAATGGACGCTGATGGCAAAGCCATTTTGGAACGATGTTTCTATTTCAAATTTCATGTAAAGGTCGGTTCACCTGACTTACCCGAACCACCATGTATGTTATGTACCTGTCACTTTAAAAACTGGTATTTTAAATCACTGTAATTTTACTCCTTTACTCCTATAATGTCTTCTATTTAAACACTAACAAGGGAGGTTAAGATCATTAAGATGGATACCGCTCAACGGATATGGTGGGCATCGATGCGTCCCATCCTCCAATCAGAGGAGCAGAGGAGTGGTAGGAGTGGAGAGGACAAAGGGGGGGAAATTTCTGATTGGAGCAAAGGAGTGGAGAATCTGATTGGTTTTCCAGAGGAGTATAAAGAAGATTGTACACGGAGCTCCGCTCATTTCTCCGCTCGCTCTCGGAATGGACGATCAAGCTCAAGGGAGCCCTGTGTATGGTGGTAATCCACCTAGTCCAACTCTAAGTTTTGAACATTGGGTTGAACAGCAAAACCATCAACCGCCAAGTCCGGATTTATTCATTGATACAGCTGTGGACGAGGAATTTTGGACTTCTCATCAAGACAACCCCGCTGAAGCGGACACTGTGCCTGTGGTTCAAACACCCCCTACTCAATATCGACCACCAATGTTGGATTTGAGTAATCTTTGGCATTCAAAAAGAAGACAGCTATTCAGCCCAGAACCATCTACTCAGGACAATAACAAGTTGTGGACTTTTGTGTACCGAGGTCAACCACCTCGATTTGAACGTGGAACACGTGCTAATTGCCTCTATGTGGACCATGGAGACCACTACCATTTCGTCTTCGAATGTTGTCCGCAAAACAAGACAAGGACCATCCAGCGACTCATTGAAAGTGGCAATCTAGACAGGCGACAATCCATGTCAATCATGGCAACCGTACAACCGGTTATTAATTGGAACCACTTTGCAGCCTACTTGGTACGAGCTGCCCAAACACCAATATGTTGTGTCGGAAAAAAATTAGAACACTTACGCGATGATCTCTACATGGTGCCCAGAGAACGCAAGGACTGTGCCACACTGTTGAGAGACGACAGAGACTCCAAACAGAAACACAATAACATCAATGGAAAACGTAGACGGGAACTAATGAAAGGATTGATTGAAGCATATGACGCCAGAAGCTACAATGAGTTCTATATGGCTATGTCTTGCGAAGACCGGGACGATATCTACGATGAATATGGACCACAGTGGAAAGAGACAGCGGAACATTCAATCAACAACTATATCGCTGGTATGCTAGCAAAACAGCTGGCTATGAGATTCGAAGAAGTACTGATGGGAAACTTTCACAATAGAGAATGCCAACACCCAGCGGATACTCTGGACGGCGAAAGATGGCTCGATCAACTGATGTGGGTAAACCGGATCGACAAAAAACAATTCTTAATTGACCTGACCCAAATTATGAACAAAGCATACAAACGGAAAAACGCTTTTGTAATCGAAGGCCCTACAACAACCGGCAAGACTTTATTTGTTAAACTGATCGCCGAGAACTACATCTATGGAACTGTGCAAAGGTCCGGAGACCACAGTCAATTTTTCTTAATGAACCTATTGAACAAGTCTCTCGGACTGATGGAAGAGCCCAGGATAACCCAATTGACCGTCAACGACTTTAAAGAATTACTCGGAGGAAACCCGTTTGACATTCATGTGAAGCACCAAAAAGATGAACGCTTACAACGGCTACCTGTGTTAATCACCACCAATAACAATTTGGTATACTATGTATTGGACCCAGATGGAAAAGCCATCCTAGAACGATGTTTCTATTATAAATTTGTTGTAAAAGTAGGGAGTGAGGAACTACCCGAACCACCTTGTCATCTATGTACGTGTCACTTTAGGAATTGGTATTTTAAAAGTATCTGATATTTTACTCCTTTACTCCTATAATGTCTTCTATTTAAACACTAACAAGGGAGGTTAAGATCATTAAGATGGATACCGCTCAACGGATATGGTGGTACGACCGAATATTTCCTATTCCAGCTCAGGAACTACTGTTCACACTGACTGATAGATGGGATTGGGTCAAACCGTTCTACGATCTATTCTGGTCACTATTCGGTTTACATCCAACCAAATGGGACAAGGTCGAACACATTAAAGAATTCATCGAAAACAACCCCGACAAATTAGCCGAACATGGACAAATACTACTCAAGGGGTGGAACGACGGCGAAAAGTACCAAAGCCAAATGGAAAAAGTCATGCATTTCTTCGACACCTACATGATTACCAGTACATTTGGACGAGCGCGCTTAAGGAATCTGTTAAAAAAAAACGCAACCTCCGTCCCCAACCCAACACCATACCTAGACACCCTTTGGGAAATGTC